TGTGTACATTTGTAAGTGTACATTTGGATGCAAGTGTACATTTAAAGAACTTCTATGTAACTTCAAAACTCTAAATTTGTTCGACGTTAATCACAGGTGAAAAAACGACGACTTACAAAAAGCAAACGGTAGAGCTTACCTTCTAAATTGTTTTTGAAGAAGGAAGACCAGATTTTTATCTATTAAAATATACTCAGTCTTTTCATTTAAAGTTAATTCCTAAAAGGGATATAAGTTTAATTTTTACTCTAAATTGCTTGACGTTAATCACAAATGAAAAAACGATAGCCTACAAAACGCAAACGGTAGAGCTTTTAATTTATTCCTGAAGAAGGAAGACCAGATTTTAGCTCATAAAATATGTCCATTCTTTTCATTTAAAGTTACTTCCTAGGAGGTATACAAGTTAATTTAACGAGTTATACAAGTGCCCTAAACGAGTGTAGCTTTTATTATTTATGAGTGTCATTTCTTACGGAAATCGGAAATGAAATTTCTCATGTGTATAAGGTCCTGTAACAGATGTAACTTAAAAAAATTTTAGAAACAGAATTGAAAATATCATTTCTGAATAAATTTCCTTTTAACTAAAATAAAATTTCAGTTGTATTCCTAATGAAATTTTCTCTCTTATTTTTACTAGCCCAAGGGGCATACTATAAAGCGCATTTAACCCAGAAGGGATATTAACCTCGAAACGGCATTTGGGGTTGGATCACATAAATGCGATGCATCGCTTTTCAGATTGTTGCCACAAAATTTTATCGCCCTGTATTATATTTAACAGAAATTAAATAATGAAAAATCTGCATGAATATATGTATGTTTCTCGCATTGTGAAAAAACAACGATACCTAGAGGCTTCAAGTTTTGAATAACCTAGTCCTCCACCCGAACGTGGGCACCTAGAAGCCCGAATTTTGAATTTCGAATTTTATATTTTATAATTTGTAAGACTTTAATGAATGTTTAATAAACTCAATGATTTGAAGGCGAGCATTTTTATCTCCAGCGCGCGAGAATGTCAATCAGAAATTCTAAAGATATGCTGTTTTTAAATATTTTTAGCACAAAATTGGCTTTAGCCCGAATACTCTCGAAACGTGTACGTGTTTGTAAATAATGATATAAAAACGCACGTTTGGGCGTAATATAAAATCTGAAGCTTTCAAATTTTATTTTCTTAATTTTTTTATTTATAATATCGCAATTTATTTCAAGAAAATAAGCAAAATTTTAGCGCAAGCATTTATAGAAAACAATTATTTGTTTACTTCTAATTTGATGAAGCTTGTAGGTCAGTGTGCTATATTTAATATTTTTTCGTTGTATCCTCCGGCAGCGAATTCAGTGTAATGTGATTGTGCATCACAAAAAAAACCGAATCAGCACATAACGTTCTCATTCGCATCTTTTTATCAAAATACTATGCACTGAAAATATACTATTAGCCAATAATTATTTCTGCAAAAGAGACACATAAGTAAGTTGCATTGATCGATGTCATAATTAAAAGTAATTTAACATACATAAATATTTACCGAAAATTTACGAAATGAAGTAATTATAATACTTCAAAAATAAACAGCATTTATAAGAAACATTTTCTATTTGATGCTATATTGATTACATATTAATTATAATTTCAGAATTGTCAATTTAATTTGTGTTACAATTCTTATTTATTATTTAGAAATTTTAATTGTTATTTGTTATTTAAAAATGATAATATAAGGATCTAATTTCACCAATATCTGAAGTTAAGTGATTCTTATAAACTATCGAAATAATAAGAGTTCAGATTTATGAATTATTGAAAACTTTTACACTCAAAAATCAAAAATTAGAAAATATCAAATTTTATGCCCAGTGAATTGAATTTAAAAATTAAATGATTTCAGAGGAGAGCATAAACGCTTAACAATCAGTTACAATAAAATAAAAAAATAAAACTGAATACTGCAAATTAAAATTCGTTTAACCACTATATAGACGAAGATATAGAAAGAAAAATAACAACAAAGGAAAATATTAATTAAATATTATTAATTTTTAAAATATATTATTATAAATTATTATTAATTCACAAAAATCACCAATTAATTTTGCATTATAACTTATTTTTTAGTTTTTGATGCAGCAATTATAATCTTGATATGAATATATGTATTTTGTAAATGATCGTAAGTGATATTCGAATCGTGGCTACACATTTTAATTCTTTAATTATTGAACCTAGACATATATTTCTCGGAACAATATTTTCCAAAATAAAATAGTAGTATCTATAAGGTATTTCTCCCGCCTTCTTAGCATGCCCTCGTAGTGTGGTAGTCTGCACACGCTGGGGGTGTATTCCAGAGTTTTGTTCGATTTCTGGCAAAGGCATTGCTCATTTTCATCTTTCTTACTTCCAAAGAAAAAATAACTAATGTCTCTACAGTGGCGCCCGAACTAAAAGAGTGGTGGATGATGATTCTCCACACCCAAGATTTATTATCCTCTAATAACGTAAATGCAAAACATTCGTTACATTTACATGCAAAGTATAACCCATCCAGAGAACAGTATCTAATTAGAAGACAGTCATTTATCCTTTAATAACATACATACAGAACATTCACTACATTTTGCAAACATAGTCTTCTAGATCTAGAGAATAATATCTAAGTATAAAATAGTCATTATCCTGTAAAAACATAAATGCAGAACATTCGCTGCATTTTCATGTAAAACTATCAATAACTAACAGTTTCTTAAAATAAACTGGAAAGTTAGCGAATGCAGTCTATTCATGATTAAACGAAGGCGGATTAGCAAAACAGATTTTTTTTAAATAAAAATTAATTTTTTTTTTTTTTTTTTTTTTTTTTTTCCGATTTGTTGCACATTTTATTGCCATAGACTAGTTGCAGGGAAAAAAATTGTTGGCGGAAAATCGAAAAGGAAAAGAATGAGCTAACAGCAACGATAACAGATGACGTCTGATAAATCTGCCCAAATAAAGTTTTGACCAACATTTTTAGACGATTTTGAACTCAATTGATATTGTTAGTAAAATTAGTTCCTTCATCTTTAACCACGTTTTTTCTTCTATTACTTAGCGTGTCATCTTTTTGCTTTGAATACTAACTATACTTTCACCAAATGAACTTATTCCGCAGAAAACACAGCTTTCCCAACTTCCGCCAAATTTGAGTTTTGCAGTTACACGTTAAAGTAAAAAAAGAGTATTTTATTAACAGGCTTTTGTAACCTACATAAATTATATATTATATTTAAAGAGCTTTTTCATAATTAATATTGAAATAATTCTAAAGCATTTGTTTCTTATTTCAGCGGTTTTGGAATTTAAGAAAATATTTAGAAAAGTAAGTTTAGTGTTAATTTAAAAGAAGATAAAACCTGAAACCTCTCATTTCGAGTTCGGCGTATAATTCGCATTTAGGTATGAATATGATACGGAAATTAAATAATTAATGAAATTATTTATTCTAAAATGAAATACTGCTGTTACGAAATTCGTATATAATATAAATAACTGTAGTGCAATTATATGTGAAATCGTAGTTTTTAGTCCAAAGGGGCTTTGCCCCTGAAGAACTATTGTTTTCGTTTTACGATTTTGCGTTGAATCACTATAAATGTCCGTTCACTTTTCAAACGGTTGCCAGCAAATTTTAGAGTCCTGCATTATATTTGTAGGATTCTCCACTGTGTAATTCTAAATTACTGTTGTAAGTGAAGAATCTTAAGAACTGATAAGCGAATAATCGCTTGAGTTCGTGTGACAGGAAACAACAAGATGGAAGGGTAAATAACTCTTTATTATTCAGATAAGATTTAACAGAACTCCGTCTTGGAGTGTACAATAAAGCCGACACTTGGGCTTGAACTTAAGAGACTGAAAAATTAAACTAAACTAATCTTAACTAAAGAGATATAGCCGAAGGTATCAAGATTCTGATCGAGTTGGCCCCTTAAAGCTAATTGATTGCGAAGCTATCAAGGGCCTAAAGTAGGGACGAGCGTAATAATAGCTTACGAGAGAGTAGCCTAAAAAGGCGGACGCGTGCACCCAGAATATCTGGTATCTCTCTCTCTAAGACTGTGGAACTTCGCGGTTATATACCGCTCTTCCTAACTAGCATTCAGACGTGATTCTAAAACTACGTTCTAGCCGGGAGTAGTAAGCGAAATTAAGAATCGATAGGAAAGGAAGTTTAACTCAAAATTTAACTGTTAATAAAATTAACATAATCCTTACATATTTAATAAATAAAGGTAACACACAAATGCTAAAGAAACGTCCCTTTGGACGTAATTTAAAATCTGAAACCTTTTAGATTTTTATTTATTTATTATTATTTTTTATTTATTTATTTTCTTAAGAACACTGACAAATACAGTAAGACCCAATTGAAATAATGAGAAAATATATACCGTTATATATAACACATAATGTTAGAAAAACCAATTAAAATTGAATGGTAATGACAAATATGTTCAAATGACTAGATATGAAAAATCCATTACAGAAAATATCAGGACTTTTCCTTGGTCTGAATAATAACTGGTGGCTTTAAATAATTTACTGATGCAGGTCTTAAAATAATATCATATTTTGAATCATTGATTTTTTATTGCGATTATTTTTAGAAAGAACAAAATCATATTTATTTATAACTGTAATTTAATATTAATTATTGATAAAAATCATCCAAAAAAAATCATTATCCAAAAATGATTATTTCGTGTAATGGAAAAAAAAATTTGTAAAAAAGACAAAATGTACCACGCATGATTTTATAGTTTAAATAACTTGAGACAGCTGTAATCAGCATTCATAACCTGGGAGATGGAAGAGCTTCAACACAATTTTCAGCTGAAATCAGCGAAATTGATTTTTTTTTTTTTTTTTTCAAAGCAATGATAAACGGTAATAATCCCGAGAAAGCAAAACAAAGAACAAGGAAGGGAAAACGTAAATCACTCTTTACCTGCTTTTCCCGGTTCCATATCCAAGTCTGACGACACCAGACGTGGAAACCGCGTCCAGGGCATTCTCTCGGGTTCGAAGGCCCCGCTCACGGCTGTGGTGAGCGTCGTCGTGAGTAACAACAGCAGCGGGGCACCTTGCGCAGTCCGCCGATCCCTCATCGGGGCACCTGAGCACAAGACGAGAAATTGAGTGAGCGGCCAATACGAAAGGGCTCTCTGCCTCTGGAACCAGACGGAGAAATTCGAAACGCCCAACGCGGAGAGATCGCTTTCCGGCGCGTAACGCTCCCCACCCCTCGCTCTCTCCTTTGCTATCGACTGCGGAAGGGTCTGGAGTGGTCAAACCCTTTGCTCTCTTTGTTTCATTCTCTCAGGATTGCTTACCCACCAGTTTTTAATTTTTTGTTATGTTACTATATTTAAATCTTTATGCCAGATGAGGAAGATACTATTCCACACTGAATATTGTTTTGCAGGAAAAAAAGTTGTGGAGATTCAATCATATGAACCACGCTGCTAGGCATGAGCAAAAAGCTGTAAGAAAGCCAACGAACGTTTACTATAACAATGTCCGTAAAGAAATACTTATTATGACTTGTATCCAGTAAAAGGAAATTTTAGTTAAATCCATATCAAACGTCTGTTTTTTAAAATTCAGTAGCTTCCACTTTTGTTTCTTTGGGACCAAGAGTCAATGGTCGTCTGTCACTTGTTGAATACAATTTTCAGAATTTCAAAAATTGTACTGAGATACCTCTTGTAATGAGAATATAATTTCTTAATATTTTTAATTAGAATATTTTTATTATTCAGTCCAGCGGTTACATATATATATATATATGTAACGCTGGATTTTTAATTAAAATTTAAATTTAAATTTGTTTATATATATATATATATATATATATATAAACAAATTTAAATTTAAATTTAATTTAACAAACATGTACATACGTGAAAAAGCAAATTTAAAGTTAAAATAATTAAAAAATGTGCAAACATATAAAAGATTTAATTTTCGAACTAATCTACAATATCATTTAAATTCAGATAGCATAAGTAAATCAAGTGCAAAACCAAATCATGAAAATAAATTCACCAATTTAGCAAATTAAAATTAATCTAAAGAAATTTTTTTTAAGATGCATAAGTGAGTGACTGTTGAGCAGACAGGAGACAGACTTATCAAGGAGAAGTTGCCTCCAAACCTAACTCTCCAATCATTCAATTCGTGTTTCTTCATTCATGCAGGCAAGGGTAAAAGTCAAAACAAAAAGTAAAGAGTGAAGAATGTCCAAAAAAAAATACCAATAAAGTGGTACCTTTAGAAATTAGTAATTAATAATTAAAGTTATAAAAGGAAAATACCAATGAAGTTTTTTGAGAAATAAGCAATGTAAAGTCAAGTATTAAATTAAACTTTAAAAAAAAAATTATTATTCAGAAAAATTAATTTAGAAACCAATGCATTTTAGAAACCCTTGTCTACAGAAACCTTCCCGACACGAATATGCATATCAATAAAAAGAAACTAAAAAGGAACTAGACATAATTTATATAAACCAATAAGAAATAAAAAGAACTAATTCATAATTTTTAAAAAGCAAATAAAACAAATATATACTTAAAATATAATTTCATATCTAGAAAATGCTTAAATACTACATAAAAAATATTAAAAAAATACTTAAGGCAAGTAAATAGTAAGTTTTAATTCTAACTTACCTACTACATTAGCGTTGGGGTCTGCAAAAGTATTTCCAAAGTGATGCAAGTGTGTTTGTTCTTCAAATTATATAGATGGCGCTTATGTAAGTAAAGTTGAGTGCCAAGCTGCTATCTTTGTTTTATTAAAAATTTTTTGTAAACTTTAGTAATAAAATATTTAAATATAAATCTAGAAAAAATTAAATATCCTAAAGGTATGTAATTCAAGTTTTAATTTTAACTGATCAACTATTTATGGTAGGGAGTTAAGTAGCTGATCCAATCAAGAGATGTAAGTTTGCTTTGCAAATATTATAAAAAGAGTACTAATTGAAGTAAAGTAGAGTTAAGTGGTTATTGTGAATTAATAAATGTAAACTGTTTGTAATGTGAAATGTGTGTTCATATATATATATATATAGTAGGAAATTTAGAACTAATATTTCACAATGGGCTTTATGAAATATTAGTTCTAAATTTCTTACTTTATGTCTTTAACGATATTTTTTCTGCAGCTTAATGCGCGAAAATAACTAGGCATGTTTGTGTTTTGTTTTCGAAAGAATTGTTTTGTAATTATGATCTAAATTTCTTTACTCTAAATGAAGTATTCGCTTCATCGAAATTTCAATTTCTAAAGCTCATTGAAGCGAAGGTTTGAATGCACGTATAAGCCATGACGAAGCAATGAAAAAGTCAACTTACTTTAATGGTATAAGTTACATTAATGTAATAAATGTAACAATTAGATTCTGTTAGATTTACAGGAAACTAAAATTGAGAAGGGAAATTACGACCAGAAATATTTTCTACGTAAAGAAGGAAATCGCATCCAATGTTAAAAAACAAATAAATAAATAAATAAAATTTTTTAAAAATCTGAAAGGTTTCAGGTTTTAAATTACGTCCAAAGGGGCGTTTTTTCAACGTTTTGTATGTTACCTTTATTTATTAAATATCATGTTCGACGTACTCAAGCTATAAAATTCAGGTCAACAGCAATATCGCAAATTAATTTTAAAATGAGCATTTCTTTAGAATTTCCGATATACAGTCTCGCACGCTGGAGATAAAAATGTCTTTTTTTTTTTCGTATAGTGTTGCCATTGCTTGCTGTAAAATGGTATAGTTTAGTAATCAAAAAATCGTTCAAGAGTTCCAAAATCTGAAATCGGTAATAAAACAAATTCAAATTCATATTAGGGCTTCCACATGCCCATATTCTATGGAAGATTACGTTATTCAAATTTTGATGATTATAGGTACCGTTGTTTTATCACAATGCGAGAAATATACATACATTTATGCAGATTTTTCATTATTTAATTTCTTCAAATATAATGCAGGACTCTAATATTTGGTGGCAACAGTTTGAAAAATGATACGCCGCTTATAGTAATTCAACCCAAAATCGCAAAACGAAAACAATAGTCCTTTAGGGGACAAAGCCCTTTTTGACTAGAAATGAACATACTATCATTAAATTAAATTTTATTTCACAAAAATTATATTAAAAAGTTGGAAAGTGAAAGAATAGAACCGAAAGTAAAATGGGCAATAAAAATGGCCATAATTCTTTGGAATGGAACAAATGAAACCTACTCATTAAAAAATAGAAAATCTTCGAATACTTAATCTAGATATTCATAAAATCAAAGGAAAGAAATATAACAAACTAATTTAATCTAAAATGTAAAACTGGCAGAGCACAAATAGCAGACAGTGCAAAGCAGCATTGCACGTATGGCAAAAGGAAGTTTTTGTGCTGTACCATAAACACAAGAATTATACATGTTAACAGATTTGCTTAATCATAGCACTACATTCGGATATCAGAGATGTTTTTATGCGTTTCAACTGAAAGCTTACAACAAAAATATCTCATGTGGACTCCACATGACTTTCTTGAACGGTCTATTAAATTATATACATTTTTTGCTATGCTTCATTTAAACTTATTTGCTCGAACTTCATTACAGATACATTCTCATTCAATTAATTGAGTTCTCACTTCGTGGCAAGACGAAAAAACGTAAATGCTCAAAACATAATCAAAAACAGTAAAATAGAGAAAAACCTAAAATACCAAATATAGTTAAAGACGGTTAAAATTGTTTTTACAATGAAAATTAGACTTTCAACGTCAAAACAAGCAATTCGACCAATCGGCATGAAGACAAAATTTTCGGTGCACAAAATTTACTTTTGGTCCCACCAGCATAAAGACACTGAACTAGGTGAAAAAACTTACTTAATTCACTATTCTACTAAGAGTCTTAAACGTAAACAAATGGTGGCCTTGTGAGGCTAAACTCTCCACTTTTAAATTGTTCTTAATTCTACAACTATTGCATGCAGATTAACTAAAGGCATGAAATACTTAACCAGAACATGAGAGCAACATAATTCAACCACTTTTAAAGCAAAAAATGCACAATTTACCAACATAATAAACATGCAGAGCATAAAGAACCGAGTAAGAGGATGTGTACATATATAGGCAGTTATACATGTTTGCTGTGGTCAATTGCCACAAAAAAGGAAGGTGCACAACTAGATGTTATACAGTCTCAAATATTCAATTTCAACGTTCTAGGAGTAATTGTTTTTTACATCCTTGTACGAAGTAAAAAGGGAGTATTGTAATCGCGAAAAGTTTCAGGCAGCATATTTCATGGAAAATATCCATTTTGACCGCTATCGAATGCAATTTATCGATGTTTTTGAGTGATATCTGTACGTAAGGAAAGAATAAAATACGTAAGGAAAGACTAAAATTTTCTCCAAAAAAAGTTATAAATCTGCTTTAAAATGAATTCTGAAGAGAATTTTTCGTGGCGTCTCTATGAACGTATGTCGCACAACTCAAAAACGAATAGCCTCAGAACGTTTAAATTTTGTATATAGGACTGCTATAACACGTAGATGTGCACCTCCTATTTTAGTTGCAATCGGCCGCACCAAACGTATATAAATATATTTATATATATATCCACTCTGTTACCCGACTCAGTGATCTCAGTTTCTTTGCTCTTATATGTTTGTAAATTGTACATTTTTTGCTTTAAAAATGATTGAATTATGTTGTTCTTATCTTCCGGTTAAGGTTTTTAAGCCTAAAGGCAAAGAATACGTACATACGTTCATACAGACGCTACAAAAAATTCTCTTCAGAATTAATTTTAAAGCAGTTTTATAATTTTTTTTGGAGAAAACGAGTCTTTTATTCTGTCCTTACGTACAGATGTTACGCAAAAACATCGCTAAATTGCATTCGATAGCGGTCAAAATGGATATTTTCGTTGAAATATGCTGCCTGAAACTTTTCGCGATTACAATACTTCCTTTTTACTTCGTACAAGGAAGTAAAAACTAATATTATTTCTAGTGATAAAAGGGATATTAATCAATGTAATGTTTATTCGCATTTGCTTTTAAAATATTCAACAGAGTTTTTAGCAAATTGGACGGAGTTGACTAATTTTCTAACTTCAAAGTTCAGTTTTGTATTTTCCACTACTTCTGTTAAGTCAATTTGATTAAG